AGATGACAAGAAAAAAGTCTGTGAAAACGATTTTTGTTTATGTAAATATGTTTACAAGGGTCAAACTCTAAATTAGTAAATTCCATCAGTAAGTCTCATATTTATATTTTTTTTTCCCTAAAGGATTTATAACATGAGAGCCATTGAGTCATTGAGTCAAGGGTTTGGGTGAAAAAAGCTTCCAAATCCACTTCATGTCACATGTACCATAATTTTGTTTATCCTCAAGATCAATGTTCTCACTTAAATGTTCTATGATTGGCTCTTGCTTTTCACTTTAATTACCTCCAAATACTCGATGAATATTAGTGAACTTCTAAATAAAAAATTTAATTGACCATAATGTCTCTTTTCACTTTTTTCAAAATCCTAACATTTTTTTGTGTGTGAAGAAATTGCTTACTTTAAAGGGGTGAGACAAAAGGGTATAAGGTGGGACGTGGGTGTGTTTATTTTAAAGCTACATCACAATTTTTGTTTCCATATAATGAAATTAAATTCGTCATAACAAACAAAAAGTAGGACATCGTTTTCAAAGAACGATTACAAGTCTGACCAACCCCATCGACACATCATCGTAAGCTTCTTGCGTCATTAGAGGAGGTCCTTTTACATACCAACCATTCATACATCTTTCTAGATTCACAATTTAATAATTAACATAAATTCTGGTTGTTGTGTGAAAAGGAAACATTGATTTTCCCAACAAGTAAATATTAATGAGATAAATCAAGCATTACTTTGCACGTCCATGTCTCACGTGGTGTTTAAGCCTTGAAAAAGTTCCTCTAAATTAAGAAAGAAAAAAAAAAGAACCCTTCTCTGCTCGTATAGAATTAGAAACAATTACTATTGTTAATCTAATCCAAGAGGGAGGGCTTTTCTCTTTTTAGTATCCAAATAAGAAGAATCTTGAATGAATCTCTAAAAAGGTCTAACCATTAACACCAACACAACCTTATTTTAATGTTTCACACACTTTGATTAGGTATATTTAGCTTTGAAAAAAAAAACACTCACACTAATCCTCAAAAACCTAAAACCCACTAAATTATTTCAACTATGCAAAGATGATTTTTATTCAAGCAAAATATAACAATGATGTGTTTGAACAACACAAAGGGGATTATGTATTTACATATTATATAGGTAAGAGAAACCAAAATGTGTATATTTCAATTAGAAACCAGAGAAATCGGAGTTGTTGTTATTACCAAAGAAAAAGGACAAGAGAGCCAAAACGCCAATGGCGATTATGATGTTGAGGAAGTAATTAGTTGGTAATGGCTTATCTGGACTTCCTCCGATTGCCTCATACTCTGCTCTTATCTTCTTCTTCATCGAATCCGAAAGCTCCTTCTGCAAAAATATTCCAAGAAAATATTTAAAACAAGAATCATTTCCTCAAAATGCAAGTTACAAAGTGTCAAGTCTTAAGGACAAACCTTTCCAGTGGAATATTTAGCAGCTACAAACTTCTCTGGAGATCCTTGTGTAGTGTCATTGTCAATGATAATGCCCTGTTTAGTTTAGTAGTAGCACATTAGAAGTTTTTTAAGATTACTGTTTAGTTCAAAATGGTTAGTGAACAAAAATAGCTAGAGATTATAATTTATTTCTTTTATGTATGTATATGTACCTCGGGAGGATCAAATTTCGCACCGAGATTGCTGAGCTTGGCATGAGCTTCAGCGTAATCCTTGAAGAATGCAGCCGGATCTTCAGCATATTTCTCTGCATAGTTCTATTAAAAAAGAGAGTATTCAAAAAACATTTCTATATCAAGTAACTTCTGTTGCAACTTATAATAAAACCACTGTTTTGTTGTTAACCTTGAATGAAGGATCTTCGAATAGAGCAGCGTCAGTGGGTAACATCAATAGATCTTCGTCCCTCTTTTCTTTGATATCCTGCAAGTCATAGAAGTCAATGAATTCTCTTCTGATTATTAGCCATATCAACTTCTGATTCTTAGAAAACTTAGGATTCTCTTCTTCATTCCCAAATTGAAGTTACTAAGACGGATAAAGAGGTAGACCTTGAAGTAGGAATTGTCGAACTTAAGCCACTTCACTGTCCAGGACTGTCCTCCTGGTTCTCCAGGTCCAGTTTTCTGCCATTTTGACCATTTTCATAACATCTTTACACTATCATTCAACAAAGAAGGGAGCAAGGATTTTTCGTTTGTTATACCGTGTACTTTGTCTCAGGTTTGCCCCAACCGCTACGTTCTGGTCTGGCTCTTCCTAGGGTATGTGCACCAGATAAAGCAACTATTTCCTGATTGAGGAAACACTGTCGACTGTCAGAAATGAGAGTAGTTGACATGAAGAAAAGAAAATGGAAAAAACCAAAATCACCTTATCATCTAGTCCCATTCTGTAGAATACCTCTCTCAAATGATCAGCTGGTGAAGGGGGTCCAGCATCTAAACACAAGCATAATTTTCACCTCACTATTTCAATAGTCCATAACAAAAAAATCTGAACAAACTCATCGAAAGCCACGAAACAGACAATGGAAAGATTAGTTAACCAGGGAGTCTTCCTTCTTCTGGACACTGGTCAGGTGATAAAACATCAACTCTCCCATATTTCATCGGGATTTCAGGACCACCAGCCTCCTGAAGTTTTTTTACTAGAGTCATCAGTTAAAAAGTTTCCAGCTAAATCCAAGTCCAACAATAGTGAAGGAAAGGACCTCTATTGCAGTGGCACTAGCTAACTGGAATAAGTCCGCGTAAGAGATGTTAGAATACTTGTCTTTGATCGGTTGAACGAGCTTTAAAGCACTAATGAGACCTGTAAATATCAAAAAGCACGATATAAAGCCAAAAGCAAAGAAACGAAACAAGTCTTAAGAGGCTACCACATTGGCATGTAACTGAGCCAACGATACCAGCATTTGCAGCATGTTTAAGCTCAGCTTCAAACCTAAGACTTCCATTAGCTCCACCTCTCTGTGGCCATTCCTCTATGTTCTTGTTATACGTACCTGCATCGTGCCATCCTAACCTAACCTGAAAATTGAAAATTTTGTAACTCTTTGTCAAAAGACAAAGCAAGATATTGCAAGAGGACACACATAAATTCAAATTCTATACCTCCAATATCTTTAGTAACAATGGCTAATACAAAATCTCTACTTAAATGAATCCAAATTTATGGAATCAAAGAAGAGAAGGGTACTTAACGAAAATTGGATGGCAAAACTTTGTGCGAAGAAGCACTTTGATATCTTCTTTAGCGTTTTTCAATTGAGCTGCATCAGAAGCGGCACATTTGGGTGAAATCACCCTACTCTTGTTCGGATGCTTTCTCTACAAATTACAGACCAAAATGCTCATCAAAACTACGATTCCGTAACGAATCTCGCGATTGATTTATGGTTACCTGAACAAAGGAGGAATGAGGAAATAGAGAGGAAGATGAGATTGTTCGGAGAGAAGATAGAGAATGTGGTGATGAAGAGGAAGAAGAAAGAGCAACGAGAGGAGGGGAAGAGGAGGAGACGGCGGAGGGAAGAGAGACTCTGGTGGAGGAAGAGAGTGAGTGAGAAGCGGCGGAGAGAGAGAAAGCCATTTTGTTAGTCACGGTGGCGAAGCGGCGGAGATAAAGCGCCGGAGGATTTTAAAAGGACATGTGTCAATGAATTAGCGAGATTCGTTGCCAGTTGGATCTATTTGGTTGGAGTCACTCACTCCTAACTGGATAACGATATCTATCAGCTTAGTTCACGAGTGAGCCTCACGCGCCTAATATTTGAATACTTTTTACTTTTTTTTT